TTAATGTATGTACCTAAATTTGAACAAAATCCATCCATGCATAACTGAGATCCGGGTCCGGAATGGTGAAAATGTGCGATTTCAATGCATTTTCGGCCTTAAAGCGGCCGCCATTTGGCTATCGTTAATGAGATCATGAAACAAATGCACATACATATTTGTGACATGATGTACCTTGTGTGTGTGAAGTTTGAACTCGATCAATCCAAGCATGTCTCAGATACGGATCCAGAACTGAATTCTTTAAAACAAAATGGCCGCCAGTCGGCCATTTCGAACCCGATCCCCCAAAAAAATGACGTGCATCAAGGTCCTATTATGTTTAATGTATGTACCAAATTTGAACAAAATCCGTCCATGCATAACTGAGATCCGGGTCCGGAATGGTGAAAATGTGCGATTTTGTTGCATTTTCGGCCTTAAAATGGCCGCTATTCGGCTATCGTTAATCGGATCATGAAAAAAATGCATGTGCATATGTCCCATATAATGTGTGATGTATGAGTGAAGTTTGAACTTAATCGGCCCATGCATGTTCGAGATACAGGTGATCACGGACGCACGGACGGACGGACGCACACAGGGCAAAACATAAGTCTCCGTTTTCGGACTGCGTCCGAACGGGGACTAATAATAAATACATACGAATAAAATACATAAATAATAATTTAAAAAGCTGGAAACCAAATCTTGGGGGAGAAAGAGTATATGATAAATATACGAAGCCCTGGTGGTGAAATGGGGCGGTGGTGGGTACAAGAGTCAAATAGACTGCTTCAAGCACGTGTACAGCTTGAAGAAACTGATGACGTAGCAACATAAAGACGCTCATGAATATGCAAATAGTTGTGTCAATAAATATTGTCTAATATAAACATTAGAATCCCATTTATGACACAACAGATAAAGAGATAAGAACACACGTTTATTTGGCAAAACAGGGGGGGGGGGGCACGCTGCTGGGACCATACAAACAGTCTGAAATGCATAGCTGAAATCTGAGGTAACAGTGTTATCGATAGAAGCTGCGGAAGCTGCAACTACCTGGCAGAGGACAGCGGAAGCTGTCCGGAACTGGTAGAAAACAGCGGAGGCTGTAAACTACGATGTGTTTAGTAAATGAATATTAATACCCGGTAATAAATACATACGAATAAAATACATAAATAATAATTTAAAAAGCTGGAAACCAAATCTTGGGGGAGAAAGAGTATATGATAAATATACGAAGCCCCCAAATGAAATGACCCCAAGATAGAGGAATTTATAATGAATTAGATTTGAAACTACTGACTAATGTAGAATGTGCAGATCTGACTGACATTCCTGAAGTATGAATGTACCTCAAGTAGCTATCTGAAGACCATCTGCCTAGTGCCTTAATCATGTGATCTTGGATACCGGCATTTGCTGCAGACGTAGCTGCCCCTATACGAAAGGAATAGCCTGTAAATTAAAATGAACTGAGACCCAATGAGCAGACAAGTCTGCGTAAATACTGTAGGAAAACAGAACGCGTCAGTGGTAAGTTGTCTTCAGT